CCAATATCACGCCCTGCTCTCCAATCTTTTCCAAACCGAGTTGTGTCTTTTGTCTGGGGGACTAAACACCCTAGAATCCCTAGGTTTACACTGTATGCCCATAAGTGAGAAGGTGGCCTAGGTCTCACTAATTTTTTATAAATGTTACCAAGCAGCACAAATAGCCACTTTAGTGTGCTTTTTTCAGTCCCCTTGTTGCCCGTTATGGGTGGAATTAGAGTCTATATCATGCTCCCCAATCTCCCTATGCTCCCTGCCATGGTTGCCTTCCCGACTTCGCCCTCCCTCTATGAGCCCCCCTTTTAACCCACACCCTTAGATTATGGGACGCCACCATATACTCCAGTAAATTACAATCTCTGCACTTGCCGTTGCTTACCATACTAGGCAATCCACTGTTCCCACCGGACCTTAACTCCCCCAATGCGTTTGCATGGTGGTCCTCCCATGGTCTAACTTACTTATGCGATCTACTGACTGATGGTTCAATCCGCAACTGGGATTACTTCAAGGACACACTGCAAGCCCCAATATCCAAATACTTTCGGTATCTACAGCTTAGGCAATGGACCGCTTCGTTCACCTCACTGTCCCTACTTGCAAATGTGCCTACTTGTAGCTTGCCTTCCTCAGGGAGTCATCATTTCTTTTCAGAAGGGAAGAAATCTCAGGGTTTTTATCCGAAGCTGGTTACATTCTTAAAACCAAATGGGGGCCTTCATGCCATCCTGAACCTGAAGTGCCTTAATCAGTTCCTTCAGATTCTAAAATTCCATATTTTGAATAATCAGGTCAGTGGTAGTGTCAGTTCAACAAGGGGACCTCTTGACTTCAGTGGCCACCAAGATGCCTTTTTGCACATTCCATTCCAATCTTCCCATTCAATGAGCGCTTCCTGCACTTTACTGTTGGTTCGCAACACTTTCAGTTTGTTGCCTTTTCCTTTTGACTGTCTACTGTAGGGCTGCAGCAAACGATTATTTTCATAATCGATTAGTTAGCCGATAATTAACTTCGATTAATCGGATAAAATAAAATGCACAAATGCAGGGTCACAGACATAAAGTTTAGTTCAGAATAAAACGGTATGCAAATTTTTTGAAATCGCACTGCACTGGAACCGCACGTTCCAATGCAGGCGATCACACTGCAGACTGGAGGTGCATTCGGGATCCATTGAAATGATTGCACCGCAACGCAGCTCCTGCAGCAAAATTTGTCAGGCCGAAACTGAGAATTATTTTTCCCACCTCAAATAATGTGAATTTTAAAACTCTAAGCCAATATAATAAAAAAAAACATATTTTTTTTATTTGTTTGCATTTTTAATTTTAATTTAACTTTTTTTCTATTTTTAAATTTGTTTTAGTCTTTTTAATTTTAGTTAATTTAACTTTATTTTTTTAAACTTTTTGCTTTTGACTTTACTGCTGGGAGCAATAGCCAGCCTGCTATTGGACATTTTAAATTGCAATAGCCAATAGCAGGCTGGCTATTGCACCTGCTTACTTCCTGCTGTCAATCACTCTATTCACTTCTGCAAGACTGTTTCACTTCAGACTGTTACAAATCGTTATACTGACTGTGTGGCACAAGGAGACTCTGTCCCTGGGTTATCCAGTATGTCTGTACAGCAAGTCCAAGTTCTCCCTTGCATGGTGGATAGCTAACCCACTGCTGGACTTGGGAAAATAATTTCTTCCAGTAACTTAGAAGGTCCTTACAGCAGACATCAACCTTTCAGGTTGGGGAGGAGTCCTGGATACTGTAATGTCCCACGGGTTCCTGGCTCCTCCCGACTGCGTTCCAGGCTGGGGCGCATCGGCCGCGGTGACCGCCGCACTCCTCCTCCCCCTTGACGGAAGTACTATACGTTCCAAGCTGGAACGCGGAAGTAGCCCACGGCCGCGTGACGTCACGGCCGCGGGCTATTTAAACCTGCCAAAGATGCTGTGGGGTGTTCGATGATTGGGATCATAGCCCAAACACCCCCAGGAACCTCACCAGCCGCCTCGAACTTCTCCTCACGGATCCAAACAGCTCCCCAGCAGCCAGCATCCACTGGACTTCTCTTGGAGGAACCTGATCGCTCATCCCACCAAACCGCAAGTATCTGATAGATCTACCTTACAAGTATCTCGGCTCATATACGCTGCCCTCTGGTGGAGACTTTGGGTATCACCTCTCTCATTTTCCAATACTATTACCATTTATGCTGTGTGAAGGGGACATCTGCTGTTATCTGTCATAGAGACTTTACCATCCACATATACCACAATTCCAGATAGGATTGCCAACATCAGGGATAAGAGTTAATATTCTTTATTACCTCGACGGTGATTGCCGATTACTATCTAGAGGAGGTTCCATAACAGGTATCCGTCCAAGCCGTCATCTTGTCCAAGCCGAACCCCGGAGGGCATCCCTTGAGGAGGGGGTCCTGTAATGTCCCACGGGTTCCTGGCTCCTCCCGACTGCGTTCCAGGCTGGGGCGCATCGGCCGCGGTGACCGCCGCACTCCTCCTCCCCCTTGACAGAAGTACTATGCGTTCTAATCTACCTTGCAAGTATCTCGGCTCATATACGCTGCCCTCTGGTGGAGACTTTGGGTATCACCTCTCTCATTTTGCAATACTATTACCATTTATGCTGTGTGAAGGGGAGATCTGCTGTTATCTATCATAGAGACTTTACCATCCGCTTATACCACAATTCCAGATAGGATTGCCAACATCAGGGATAAGAGTTAATATTCTTTATTACCTCGACGGTTATTGCCGATTACTATCTAGCGGTCCATAATGACTAAATCCCCAAATCTCCGTTTATGATTGAGAGAGCCGCCGGGGATTTTAGCCTGACAACCGCACTACACACCCAGTTGGAACCGCAGCTGTGATCCACCATACACTTCCAAGGCCGGGCCCTGACAGATACCCTCTTGGTACAGGGGACTTAGTTATCAGAGAAAGCCAGGCTTCCCATCAATGTCTTGAAACTGAGAGAGTCGTTGGAAGTCTTGGCTGTGAGGGCATCTGACTAGAATTCAGTCGAACAATGGCAAGGCCATAGCCTACATCAACCACCAAGGCCACAAAGGGTTGCACAGCTCAAGAGATGTTGACTGCATTTTGGTTTGGGCGTAGCTTCATGTTCAGGCCCTATCCACCATACACATTCCAGGCATGGAAAATTGGAAGGTGGACTTCCTCAGTGTCTGGTTCTGGGGGAATGGTCTCTCCACCCGGAGATGTTCCAAGAGATCTGTCACAAATAGGGAATGCCGGACGTCTTATGACCAGGTTAGGCAACATAAGGGAGTTTTGTCACAAGGACCAGGCATTGAAGTGCATTTGCAGCATATGTTCAGGTGACTCTGTGGGATTCAGTTTAGTCTGATCTATGCCTTCCTGTCCCCAAAGCTTCTCCATTGTCTGCAGTGCAGGATCAAGCAAGTACTCTGACATTCCCGGTCTCCTGGCAGACTCTGCATTGTTCCTCACTAGATTTTCTATCCCAAGAATCGATCCTCCAACCTGCTTTTGGGTTGCTAGCTTTGACAGCCTGGCTGTTGAAGCCCAGGACTTGAGAGACATAGGCCTCTCGGATTTGATTATCACTACTCCCCTGAGAAAGTCGGCCTCTCGCAAAGTTTGCTATCGCTCTTGGGAGGCCTATTTTGCCTGGTACATGCTGGAAAAACTCCATCCTAGGACGTTCTCTGCGAGACTGATCCTTTCATTTCTCCAGTCTGGTCTGGATCAGTCTTGGATCTTGAGCACTGTCAAGGGACAGATCTCAGCCTTGGCTATTCTATTCCAAAAACACTAGCCCCTCACTGCTTGATGAAGGAGTTTGTGCAAGGTGTTCTGCATATTGTTTCCCCTTGTCACTCTCCAATGACTCTGGGACCCCAGCTTGGTTCTTCAAACCTATTAGGTATATTCCTTTAGCTGATCTCTCTTGCTAGTTGGCCTTTCCTGTTACTATTACCTCTGCCAGGCGAGTTTCTAAATTAATGGCTTTGTCCTGTAAAAAAACGTTCCTAGTACGCAGGGATAAGACCTCTTTTCTCCCTAAGGTAGTTTCCTCTTTCCACATAAACAAGGGCATTTTTCTTCCTGGCTTGTGTCCCGTTCCAAAATAACCGAAGTAGATTTTTCTCCACTGGATGTTGTACGAGCTACCTGAGTTTACCTCTCAGCTGCTGCCTTCTGCCGGCAGTTGGATTCCCTCTTCCCCAGAGATCATGCAGGGGCTTCTTGATTCTTATTCAATCATTGCTAGGTGGATTAGACCGGTCATCATTTGGGCTCATAGTTTGAAGGATAAGGTTAGAAGTTAGATTAGATTTTTTTCTGTAAACTGTTTGAGTAAGTATCACTTTTAAAGGGTTAAATAATTTAGAGCCACTGATTTAAAAGTGCATCAAATATATACTGCACAAAGTGGAAATAGCCCATGAAGCACATGTTAGGTGTCATTGCAAGTGGTATTTACAGCTGCTATAGTGTGTGATAATACAAAGAAAGAAAAGATTCATGTGGTGATAATGTGTGAAAAGTTTCACTAGTGTGTTCGTAGCACCTATAAGTTTTCCCTGATGTGATGTTAACACCCAATTCTCAACAAGTTCTCACTTGTAGAAGCAAATTTAGATGCTAACACAGATTTAGCTTTTCATTTAGCACATCATGTGAAGAGCCAGTATTGCTCAGCTTAAAAGTATATATATATATTTTTAAAGTGTCTGCAATATATGAAAATCATTGGTAACCTCAAATACTTGGATCTTGTGAAATCAGTTGGGGCTCTTATCTGTGGATTCTAGTATGCCCTTATGTGTCCTACCATATTATATTGAGAATAATATTGATTGCTGATCTAAGGAGTGGGTTAACACTAAAATGCTAACACGAACGAGGTTCTGTTTTTTCTTTTTACCATCACATACTGTGTTTGTGTTACATTTTGTGTTTCTTTTTTTCCAACTACACTAGGTTTTTGAGAAGAAGAACCAGAAATCTGCACAAACAATTGCTCAGTTACACAAAAAGTTAGAACATTATCATAAGAAACTGAAGGAAATAGAACAAAATGGTATATCACGACAGCCAAAGGATGTCTTGAGGGACATGCAGCAAGGACTGAAAGATGTGGGAGCCAATGTGCGAGCAGGCATTAGTGGCTTTGGTGGAGGAGTAGTTGAAGGTGTTAAAGGAGGGCTTTCTGGTCTTTCACAGGTCACACACACAGCAGTGGTGTCAAAGCCTAGGGAGTTTGCTAGCCTTATTCGCAACAAATTTGGCAGTGCTGACAACATCCCACACCTAAAAGATGGCATAGAAGAGGATAATGAAACACAAGGGGGTGCAAGAGCACTGAGCGGCAGTGCAACTTTGGCACCAAGTCCCAAATATGGGAGTGATGATGAATGCTCCAGTGCTACCTCTGGCTCAGCTGGAGGAGGAAGTAATTCTGGGGCTGGACCTGCAGGACCTGGTAGCCCTAGATCTAACACTCTAGATGGACATCACCATGGGGGCTTTGATGCTATTCTCGAGGAACTCTGTGAAATCAAAGATGGGCAGAGCCATCTTGAGGATTCAATAGAAGACCTAAAATCACAGTTACAACGAGACTACAGCTATATGACACAGTGTCTCCAAGAAGAGCGCTACAGGTTAGTGTAAATTAAGCATATATTTTAGTTGTTATCGTATGATGCATATTTTACAACTACAAGAACATGTCGGCTACCTGTAATTTAATAGAAGCATTGCATTGCATAAACTTACACAAATGGAGTATTGTACACAGAAAATAATTTGTATAATAAATCTAACAGATTTGAAAACAGTGTTTACCTTTATACCAGTTATGATTAATTCCCCTCAAGGTGTTTCTGCAGCAGTGGATCACTTATTGCAGAGATCTAGTGCTATCTATGCTCCAGAAACACCTTGAGGGGAATTGATCATAACTGGAGCAGATTGAATCTATAGCAGTTTTCCATGCCCACCAATTAGCTTCTATCTTTCATTTTCAAAGTTTAATTGAACAAACTGAAGAGAGGCACGATTGGGTGCCATGTGCAACTACTGCAGTTTATGTCTGCTTCAGTTTTGCTCAATCCCCCCCCCATCTTTAGTTTTACCTCTGTTTTACATTACTGTTGTACAAAATATTTATGTGGATAGATGTGTTACATCTGTTTGCATTTTAATATATTGTCAAAAGAGAAAATAAATTAAATGGAATGGAAAGCTTTCACTTACAGCTACAGTCATGTGAAAAACTAAATAGAAACCTTGGGGATTGTTGAGTTTTTAAATATATTTGAACAGGGTAACATTATATCTTTATTTAAACAGTGCATGCAGATGAATGTGATATACTTCAACAAATGACACATACAATTTACATGTATTTATTCTCATATTCTAAATTGACCTAGGTACAGATTTGTCACATGAAACCTGCTCCTTTTGATGAGCTTTATCTAGTGCACCATTACCAAAAACACGCTGCATGTTTTAAACCCCTTAATACTAGCATGTTTCTTCATTTGTGTTAGTTGTGTGACATATGTGTGTCACATAAGGAGTGGCCTATAGATTTGTTTTTTATTCATGAGTAAAAAGCGAGTAACATTTGTTGAGTCTGGTCTGTACCTTGTAGCTAGCTTGAAAGACTGAAGCAAGCCACATTGGCATTTGAGAACATAAATGACCACCTTAGAATTGTAAGTTAAACACACAGCCATTGGGATCTTGGTCTCCTTGTGTTATTACAAAATATGATTACCCTTGATGATGCTACACTAACTTTGTTAATTAAGACATGGAATAATGCCACTCTGAAGACTTGCAAAATTGTAGTTCAATTATTGCACTGCAACCAACTATTCTCATTATCGATTAGTAGGTTGGATTCCTTAGCTCTCTACGCTGGGAGGGGGGCACAGCAAGCAGTAGGCAGATGCAATAGCCAGCCTGCTATTATTTAAAATGGCCAATTTCAGGCTGGCTATTGCACAAGCCCACTACCTGCTGTATTTACATTCAGCTGCCATCTGCGAAATCGTGCCACTGGCAGCTGTCATTCCCCGGCTGAAGGTTTTCAGGTGCCATGTGGTTACAATACAATTATCAAAAAAAAAAATTATAAAAGGTGGGAACAAAGTCATTTTCAGTTTCGGCCTGACAAATTCTGCTGCGGGAGGTGCATTGCAGTGCCATTCATTTCAATGGCACGCCAAGCGCGCCTCCCACCCACAGTGTGATCGTTCGCACTGGAACACACAGTACCAGTGCAATGTAATTGCAAAAAAATGTGTATAGAGTTTTATTCTGAAGTAAACTTTGTTTTTAACACTGCATTTGTGTATTTTATTTTAAATTAAGAATGGTATTTGATTATTTTTTTAAATCAGATTAATCGAAAAAATAATCAGCCAACTAATCGATGATGAAAATAATCATTATTTGCAGCCCTAGTTCATTTACATGTTCAGGGGCAAAAGTTTCTTGTTTATTAGAAATTTACAAGATTTGTTATAGGCAAATAATGATGGTCATGGAAAAAGGTGGATCTCATAGAATAATAATTAATATTCTAGCAACATTGTGTTCCTTGGTAAAAAGCATACCATCCTAAAATACTAAATATTATTCTACAAAATTCACCTTTTTCCATGACCACAATTGCAAGTTTTTAAAATTATCTGAGGACAATCAGATATTTGAGAGTAATACCTATGATCCACTTAATGTTCTTGTTTGCAATTTTATAACCATAGCCATTTCTCACACACATTCAATGTAAGGGTTCACTTCTACACTGATCACCAGTGCAAGGGTGCTTTTTTCCTCACTGATCACCAAACTAAAGGGGTATTTCTCCACTGATCACCAGTTTAAGGGGTATTGATTACTCCGCTGACCAACAATGTATGGGGGCACCTCTCCTCTGACCACTCATATAAGGAGACACTACCACTGACTAGTGTATGGGGAAACTAAATTTTCTCAGTTTGTGTTTATTTTCTTGAAATTATTATTCATTTATTCTCATAATTTTTATTGATGTATAAATCAAGGGAGTGTTGTAAAATATTGGATCTGGGTGTTAAATACTAAGTATGCCATATTTTGTATTGTTTATTTAAAAACAGCTTACATATACATATAGTATATATATATCTATCTATATATATATATATATCTCTATATATAGATATAGATATATATCTATATATCTATAGATATATATATACATACATATAAATGATTGCTCTCACTCCGACGTTTGTGGCGATATTTAACATGTGCGGCACAAAAGGCGCAATCGTCGTTTTCACACGTAGGCGCACCCGACTCATATCTGCGTGTGTATGTGGGGGGCGGGGACTTAAATTTTCTTTTTTAATTTTTTTATGCTTTATTTGTTTTATGATTCTTTCATTTTGGTATTACTTTTTTTTTTTACACACAGCTTTATTGCTATTACATAGGGGGCTAAGAAGCCCCCTATGTAATAGCCAATTTACATGACAGGTCCTCTTTACGGAGGCACCCCCATGCTTCACAGTAGGTATGGTGTTCTTTGGATGCAACTCAGCATTCTCTCTCCTCAGTGGTCTTGTATGTCTTCCATTTTCTAATTATTGCTCCCACAGTTGATTTGTTCACACCAAGCTGCTTGCCTATTGCAGATTCAGTCTTCCCAGCCTGGTGCAAGGCTACAATTTTTTGTTTCTGGTGTCCTTCGAGAGCTCTTTGGTCTTCACCTTAGTGGAGTTTGGAGTGTGACTGTTTGAGGTTGTGGACAGATGTCTTTTATACTGATAACAAGTTCAAACAGGTGCCATTGATACAGGTAATGAGTGCAGGACAGAGGAGCCTCTTAAAGAAGAAGGTACAGGTCTGAGAGCCAGAACTTTTGCTTGTTTGTAGGTGACCAAATACTTATTTTCCACCATAATTTGCAAATAAATTCGTTCCAAATCAGCCAATGTGATTTGTCTGGATTTGTTTTCTCATTTTGTCTCTCATAGTTGAGGTCTACCTATGATGCCAATTACAGGCCTCTCTCATCTTTTTAAGTGGGATAACTTGCACAATTGGTGGCTGACTAAATACTTTTTTGCCCAACTGTATGTTGAAAAAAATTATGGGTTCTCATATTGAAGATGATCCATGGGGTATGTTTCATTGCACTATAGATTCTAGAGCAAAATATAGATGTTCATTGACCCCCTCATCTACTTAATCCAGCGAAAGCTCTGATACCGCAGTATTGGAAGCAGGTTTTTTATACCCCTGTTACATCAGTGGTTTGAAAAAATTTACAACATCTGTAATATGGAAGAGATGGTTTTAACATCTAGAGGACAGTATAAAAGGTTTTATAAAATATGGGCAGGGTGGTTTGAATTTAAGAAGAATGCAGATTATGGTTTGGTGATGTCATTGGTACATTAATAATGGTCTTAATATGATGAGATATATAAATTAAGAGGGGTTGTGTTGTGTGTGGTTTTTTGTTGTTGTCGTTGTTTGTGTTTGTCCCTGTCTATGTAGGGAGTAGTTAGGTATGTATATATATATATATGTATGTGTATGTGAGGACAGTTAAGCTAAACTAGATGGGATTTAAGGAATGTTTTCAAGGAAGTATTTGATTGTTTCTTGGAAGAGTAAAAATAAAAGTTATGTAGTAATGTCATTATATTTATTTAAATGTATTTATCAAGCAGAAATGTCTATGTTGGATATGCTGTCCAGATGGAAGTTTGTTTTGTATTAATATGTAAAAACTTTAAATAAAGAATATAAAAAAGTTCCTCAGGGGTGATGGAGGCATTTAATTCCTGTAAGGCTTTCTGAGAGAGTTTAGGCATATCACAGGAGGAAAGGTATTGAGCTATGCGGGTGTTCAAGGTAACATCCTTTGAACATCAAAAGCGGGGCCATCCAAATTATAGAGCCCCTCGTAGAAATCTCTGAGGACCTTAGCTATTTTGTGACGATGATGTTGAAGAACTCCACCCGTGTCTCGCCCTGCAGCAACCCTCCTGCTGTCTACTTCAGCCTTAAGCTTTCGGGCTAGAATGGAGTGAGCCTTTTTCATAGTATTTCTGTTTGAGATACAACATTGATAGTTCAGTTTTGTGTATTAACAAATTACGTAATTGTGCCCTAAGACTAATTAGTATGCATATGGTACTTTTGGCAAATGGCCAATTTGCGTTCCTGAACTACAACGGCCTGTTTTAATTGAGTGGCCCTGCGCAGGCGGTCTCTTTAAATCTTAGATGCTAATGCAATACAGAGGCCCCTGATGATAGCCTTATGGGCCTCTCACAGAATAGAGGTAGACGATTCAGATCCCATATTTAGTAGCAAAATCAGACCGGATCTCTTGTGCTATTTCAGCCCGGGCTTAAGGAGGCCGTCATTCAGCCTCCAATTACACTGCTTAATGCAGGTGTGGTCTAATTGGAGGACCAATTCTTAAGGGGCGTGGTCAGACCACAAAATAACTCCTACATCAGAGGCCACCATATTCCTCATAACCGGAGTATTGATTTTAAAAAAATCTAATCTAGTGCGAGTCTTGTGGACGGGCGACGGAAGTGCTTTGACTGAGAGCTGGTGTTCCTAGGGGGATTTCTTGTGG